ATCATGCAAATTGCCACCGAAGCGGCAGATGGAATCCTTGTTCTCATTTTCTAAGTGCTTCGGATACTTGACATTACGGTTTGAAAGGCAGTGAAATAAATGCTTCCTAAAAGGGAAGCTTCCCGAACGAAAGGAGATTCCTAGAAAAGCCTGGCCAGTTTTGCTAGACAGCTGTCCTACAGATGCTCGCTTCTCGGTGAATCCTAACTTCTCAATCAGCCCTCCTTAACTGCCTCTGTGGCTGATTATAGTCTTTAAGGAGACACTAAGAGGAACTGATTTGGCAGAAGGACAGCCTGTGTCTCACTCTTTCTACAGTGAACATTTAGTACGTCTGGGCACTCCTGCGTGAGCTGCATTGGCTCCCAGTGGTCTTCCGGGTGCGATTCAAGGTGTTGATTAACATCTTTAAAGCGCTCCATGGCTTAGGACCCGGGTACTTACGGGACCGCCTTCTGCTACCGACAGCCTCCCACCGGCCAATATGCTCCCACACGGCGGGGCTCCTCGGGGTGCCGTTGGTCAGACAATGTCAACTGGTGACCCCCCCGGGGGAGAGCCTTCTCAGTGGGGACTCCTGCCCTCTGGAACGAGCTGCCCCCGGAGGTACGGAGAATCCCGGACTTGCACACTTCCCACCGTGCCCTGAAGACTTTGTTATTCCAGCAAGCCAGGCTAGCCTAATTTTAACGGTTTTAAATTTTAAATTGGATTTTAATGGGATGTTTTTAATTATCGGTCAAAGTATTTAACCTGGTTTTAAATTGTTTTTAATTTTTATATTTATGTATTTGATCTTGGCTGTTCACCGCCCTGAGTCCTTCGGGAGAAGGGCGGTATATAAATATAATTAAATAAATAAATAAATAAATCTCGGAGGACCTCTCATGGACTATGAATGCTAACATGCTTGTGAAGAAGGCAGAGAAGAGGCTATACTTCCTGAGAATGCTCAGAAAGATAAATCTATCTCAGCATCTACTTCTGTCCTACTATCACAGCATTGAGTGTCCTGACATACGGCATTCTTGCATGGTATGGGAGCAGCTCTGTAGCGGACAAAAAAGCTCTACAGAGAATCATTAAAACTGCCCAGAATATCATCGGGCTCCAGCTACCAGCCCTGGACGACATCTTCGAATCTCGCTGTTTGAGAAAGTTGCATAACATTCTCAAAACACTCTTCCCATCCTGCTTACAATCTTTTTGGACTGTTGCCTTCTGGCAGAAGATACAGAACAATTAAAACTCGGACCACACGTTTTCTGAATAGTATTTTATCCCAGAGCTATAATTGCACTCAACAATGAACTAAAGGCCCACCATCAGTGAGCTGTTGGACAGCATTACTTGGTCTGTTGTGTGGATGTTTGGGTGGTTTAGGGGTGGGCAATTGTGGTGGGTGGGGGTGTGTTTGGGGATTGTTATGTGTGTTGGACCTGGTCTTTGGGGGTTAAGTGAATTTCGTTGTATGGGTATACTGTGTATACACGTACAATGACAATAAAGTTAGTTAGTTAGTTAGTTAGTTAGTTAGTTAGTAATCAACTTGAAAATGTTGAGGTAGAAGTGTACCACTTGTAAAAGCAGCAGGAAGCCACAAAAATATTCAACACAGAATTGCAGAAGTCATGCAAGTCCCTAGCTCGATCTTATAGGTCAGTGATGGCTAACCTTTTTGCCATCACGTGCCAAGAGGGGTATGTGTGGGGGATCACACACGAGCATGCCCACACCCATAATTCTATGCACCCTGCCCCCGTGCATGTGCGTGCGACCCTCCCCCGCTCCTGGCACGTGATGGCCCCGTAGGCCCGTTTTTCTCCCTCACCTGGCTCCAGAGCCTGTCTAAGGGTCTGGGGAGGGCGAAAACGGCCTTCCCCACCCACCCACCCCCGAAGGCCAGAAACGGCCCGTTTGCCAACTTCCAGTGGGACCAGAAGGCTCTGGAGGCTGGGGACAGCAAAAAACGGGCCTTCCGGTCCCACCAGAAGTTGGCAAACGGTCATTTCTGGCCACTAGAGGGCCTCCGAGGGTGGGTGGGGAAGGTCGTTTTCGCCCTCCCCAGACTCCTAGAAAGGCTTTGGAGCCAGGTGAGAGAGAAAACGGGCCTACCCCACCACCCCCTGATGCCCTCCAGAAGCAGGAAACAACCTGTTTCCTTACTTTGGTGGGCCCAGAAGGCCTGAAAATTAGCTGGCCGGCGCACGCATGCGTGCCAGAGCTGAGCTTGTGTGTCCACTGATATGACTACGCATGACACCTGTGGCACGTGTGCCATAGGTTCGTCATCACAGTTATAGGTAGTTCTCAACTTACAATCTTTCATTTATCCCAAAGGTGCTTTTTCAGGAGGCAACTGGACTTTCTTGTTTTTTCTTTTGAAGACGTTTCACTTCTCATCCAAGAAACTTCTTCAGCTCTGACTGGATGGTGGGGAATGGAAGGATTTATCTTCCTTGCAGACAGCTGGTCATTTGCATCCTTTTAGAGAATCATTGCGGCCACTTGGAGGTTTATCTGTGTCCTCAGGGTCACCTGAGTGGTGCTCCTGGTTCCTGTAGTCTGCAATTTTTCCCCCTCTGGAAATCCATTCCTACTCCCACACCATTCAAAGGGTCCTCATCCCAAATTGTATAGCTAAAAGTCTGTACATAAATTTTGATGAATTTGGGGGTGAATTTGGAATAATTTAAAGGATACACCTTTAAAGAAACCAAGGGATTGATCTGGATAATTTTCCTTTATTGGATTTACAAAGGACACTTGTTAAAGTTTTGGGGGAAAAAATTTTTTTTTTGAGAAGGGACAAAGGAAAAATAAAAAGAAATCAATTTCTAATATATTTGAAGGATTAAAGATCAAGATTGTAAAAAGGGAAGGGAATATAAAGTTGTTTTATTTCATCAAGTTTAAAATAGATTGTATTGTAATCTCTTAACAAGTTCTTAATGGATTTTTGGTATCAGGACTGAACAATGATGAGGCCTTAAGGATTTATTTATAGACGGGATATGGGAAGATTATTTATTGTATTTTAGGAGAAGGTGTTAAGTTACTAAAATTGATACTTGTGATGAAGGAGGAAATCATTTCTTTATATTTCTTTTTTTAACATATTCCTATTTTTTTCTACTTTCCTTGCTTTTTTTCTTGTTCCTTTTTGCCCTTTCTATTTTTTTTTTCTTTTATTCATTTGCTTAGTTTGCATTGCTTTTTATCTTTCGAACTGCAATGTTTCATAAAATTATTACTAAAAAGGGAGCTGACAAACATGGGACGATATCACGCACAATATTAAAATGAGCAAATCTGAATTTGACTTGACTTGCCTGTTTTCTGTCTCCACTCCCTTCGTGTCCAGGTTTAAGCCGCTGGTTCTTTTTAATCTCCCCCTCCTCTCACCTTAGCCCTTGCCAAAACCCATTTTGACATTCCTAGGATGCCAGAAGCCTCCAGTGAAAATGAGTTATGTCCGTTCAAGCTTTTGCAAGCTTTTTGCAAACTCAGGCCGAAAGAATTTGAGTCACTCCAGCGAAAGGCCATGGCGAGTCCACTGTTTGAATGCAAGGAGACCGAATCTAATCTTTTAGCAAGGTTGATAAAATGGCTGGTGCGAAATGAAATGATGAACGGTGGGGTCTCTGACACCTACCCACCTACACTCTCTTTTTCTCGTGGCTGGTTTTTAGCAGCACTAGATAGCTTTGGAATAATTTTGAGGAGCCTGGCACCGACTTGATCTGGGTTTCAAAAGTTTCTTTCCTTTGATGGAAATCAGTTTAGTACTAATTAACTTTTTTTTCCTCCCATCTAAATTAACTATTTCATTTTCTTTTCATCCCCTCAGGACGCTGCTACAGGGCACGGCATGCCAAAACAACTCAAGACAGAGAGGTTTTTTTTCCCTTGTGCCATTACTCTACTGAAATGCTAATTCTCACAGTATTGTTTTATGTCTAAGTTTTACCCATGAAGTATGGCGGTATTCTCATCTGTTCCACTACCTTCTCTTATTGGAATCATTATTATGATTATTATTATTATTTTGATATTATTATTATTATTATTATTATTATTATTATTGTTATTATTATTATTATTACTGTTGTTTTGCATGTACACTGAGAGCTTATGCACTGGAGACAAATTCCTTGTGTGTCTATCACACTTGGCCAATAAATTATTCTACTTCTATTTCTATTTCTATTTCTATTTCTATTATTTCTATTTCTATTATTTCTATTTCTATTATTTCTATTTCTATTTCTATTTCTATTTCTATTTCTATTTCTATTTCTATTCCTGTCCTGTCCTGTCCTGTCCTGTCCTGTCCTGTCCTTACTCTGTTCTACTCTACTCTACTCTACCCTACCCTACCTTACCCTACCGTACCCTACCCCACCCCACCCCACTCCATTCTACACTATTTTATTCTATTCTAGCTAAAGAGAATTTAGGGGAAGGTAGAGATGAGATCAGTCCGGTCTGTCCTAGAGGAGATCAACCCTGACTGCTCTTTAGAAAGCCAGATCCTGAAGATGAAACTCAAATAGTTTGGCCACCTAATGAGAAGGAAGGACTCACTGGAGAAGAGCCTAATGCTGGGAAAGATTGAGGGCAAAAGAAGAATGGGACGACAGAGAATGAGGTGGCTGGATGGAGTCACTGAAGCAGTCCGTGGGAGCTTAAATGGTCTTCGGGGAATGGTAGAGAACAGGAAGGCCTGAAGGAACGTTGTCCATGGGGTCACAAAGGGTTGGACACAACTTCTCAAATAACAATAAGAGATGAGATAGGCTGGTTCTATTAACCACTTTATGTCAAGCCAAATATGGGAGCTCCATCGCTGAGTATTGTATGAAGAATTTACTAAGGAAGCATGTGGACTTCTGCATTATCTTTTCTTAAAATTTCATTGTTATTCAACCTCTCCTTGACCTCATTTTTCCGTTCAGAGATGGGTAGAGTTCAGATTACCTAACGCAGGTATTTCTTACCTGTGCATTGGAGAGGTCCCGGGAAAAATCTTTCCCCACATGATGTCACGCATTGGGCATCTTTCAAATGCAGCGAAGCTTGGCAGGAAGTACATCCAAATTTATTAGTGCAAGTCGAGCACAACTCTTTACAAGCTGCCCGAGGTGGAGAAGAAAACAAAACAAAAAGAGAAGATTGTAAAAAAAACTGAGTCGGATTTGATATTCTCTTGAGTCAGATGTTTGGGATCCATGATGCAGCTTTCCACTTGCTGATCAGGGATTTCAAACATCCCCCAAGTATTAGCACCAGTAAAAAAGAAAAAAGTGTATCTTGAAGTGTACAGCACACTGGCTTATGACTGCAATAAACACTGACTTGATTTCACTGAAATCAGACAATTGGTTATTGTTGCCATTCCATCAGGCTTTTGTGAGGATTAAACCTCCTGATTATGCTGTTTTGTTTTAAATATTTTATTTTGGGAATTTAATATTCTTTTTTACAGATCAACAGAAGGGACCTTGTAGGTCATCTAGTCCAACCCCCCGTCCAAGCAGGAGACCCTACCCCATTTCTGACAAACGGCAGCCCAATCTCTTCTTGAAAGATCCAACGATGAAGCTCCCACAACTTCCAAAGACAAGCTGTTCCATTGGTTGATTGCTCATCCTATCATCAAATTTCTCCTTATTTCTAGGTTGAATCTCTCCTTGGTCAGTTTCCATCCGTTATTCCTTGTCTGGCCTTCAGGTGCTTTGGAAAATAGCTTGACCCCCTCCTCTCCGTGGCAGCCCCTCAAATATTGGAAGACTGCTATCATCTTTCCCCTGGTCCTTCTCTTCACTAGACTAGCCATGCCCAGTTCCTGCAACCGTTCTTCATGTGTTTTAGTCTCCAGTCCCTGGTTGCTCTCCTCTGCACTTTTTCTAGAGTCTCAATGTATTGCTATCTTCTCTATCAGTGGTGGGATTCCAAATCTTTTCATACCGATTCTATGCGCGCACAGTACTCAAAGAGGTACTGCAGGGGTATTTGCAGGATCACCTCCTACCGGCCTCCCACCGCCCAGTGCACTCACATAGGGCTACCCTCCTCCGGGTCCCCTCGGCCAGACAGTGTCGGCTGGCGGTCCCCAGGATAAGGGCATTCTCTGTGGTCACACTGACCCTCTGGAATGGGTTGCCCATCGGGCTCCGGATGGCCCCCGACCTCCGCACCGACCTAAAGACATTGCTCTTTCAGCAACTTCCCTGATCTGCCGTGGATTTTAACTTGGGGGTTGGGGATTTTAAATTGGTTTTTAATATTATTTAATCTTTATCTATTGTCGGGTTGTTTTATTGTTGTGAGCCGCCCTGAGTCCTACGGGAGAAGAGCGGCATATAAATCTGACAAATAAATAAATAAATAAATAAAGACCACCCTCAGTGTCAGCACTGGTGAGCTGAGCTGTTGTTTAGTTCAGCTGAGGCGCAGCAATCCGCTCTGCCGCGCGAATCAGCTGAGGTAAAAAAACAAGGGAATATAGGGCAGGGAAGCGCGGGGAAAGGGCAGGGCCAGCCAGAGGTGGTATTTTTTTTTTATTATTATTTTGATTTATATGCCACCCTTCTCCGGAGACTCAGGGCGGCTTACAATGTGCTCAGCAATAGCCTTCATCCTTTTGTATATTTTATACAAAGTCAGCTTATTGCCCCCACAACTGGGTCCTCAATTTACCTACCTTAGAAAGGATGGAAGGCTGAGTCAACCTTGAGCCTTGGCGAGATTCGAACCTGCAGTAATTGTAGGCAGCTGGTCTTAATAACCAGCTTAATAACAGGGTGCCTTAAACCAGTGTACTACCAAGGCTCTAGTACTTCTCCGAACTACTCAAAATTTCCGCTACCCAAGCCGGCTGAATACCACCTCTGTTCTCTATGTATGGCTATTTTTATTGTTTTGAACTGCCTTGGGGGAACTCCCTTAGAGGAGAAACAGAGCAATGAAAGGGTATTTTAGTAAGACACAAATCTTCAGAATGATTTTATCTCCTTTAACACCCACAAGCCACGGGCGTCTTCTGAAACGTCTCAGCATCACCTACAGAGCAAGAAGCTTCAATATCACAAAGAAAGCTGGAGGCTAATCTTACCTACGCAAAGGCCAGCATCTGGATAGAAGCCAACCCCACAGCTGTCAACGCAACGGCCGTTCAGGAGAAACTTGGTGGACTCTCGGCAGGCATCGCAACGATCAAACGCCTGGGCACAGGTCAAGCAGTCAGGGTGGCAGCGACCTATCATTGGAAATGAAACAACTTCATTTGGGGTGAGGAAGTGCAGGATGGACTCACCCGCTCAGTGAGAAGGATGCCTTTGCTGCATGGCAAGAAAAAAAAAGTACAAGTAAGCCTCTTCTCCACCAGATTAGAGCCTCCCTTGGAATTGATGGTGATCATATGATGATTATGGTAGGAGACGTGGTGGCTCAGTGGCTAAGACGCTGAGCTTGTCGATCGAAAGGTCGGCTGTTCAGCGGTTCGAATCCCTAGTGCCGCGTAACGGAGTGACCTCCCGTTACTTGTCCCAGCTTCTGCCAACCTAGCAGTTCGAAAGTACGTAAAAAAATGCAAGTAGAAAAATAGGGACCACCTTTGGTGGGAAGGTAACAGCGTTCCGTGCCCCTTTGGTGTTTAGTCATGCCGGCCACATGACCACGGAGACGTCTTCGGACAGTGCTGGTTCTTCGGCTTTGAAACGGAGATGAGCACCGCCCCCTAGAGTCGGGAATGACTAGCATTTATGTGTGAGGGGAACCTTTACCTTTTATGATGAGTATGATCATGATTTATCACTTGTTGCTTATATGTACACTAAGAGCTTTTGCACCGGAGACAAATTCCTTGTGTGTCCAATCAATAATTGTCAATAAAGAATTCTGTTCTGTTCTAGTCTAGTCTAGTCTAGTCTACTCTACTCTAGTCTAGTCTACTCTAGTCTCGTCTAGTCTAGTCTAGATTTGTAACCCAGGGTTGACATGAGGGGTCCTTGGTGCTCTCTGAGCTTGCTTGTTTTCTTGCAGATGTTTCATTACCCAAACTAGGTAACATCATCAGTGCTAATCCTAGCACTACACTGATGAGATTACTTAGTTTGAGTAATGAAATGTTTGCAAGTGTAGGAAGTTAGCAACCACCCCTCTCCTAGAAAAATGAAATATTCTAGGAAATATTAAAAAGGCAGAATATTGTATTTTCCCTAAAGGAGAAACATGTTTCTAAAGACATAAATTCAGAGCCTCAGCCAGCTCCCTGTCCGCCTCCCCAGCAGATATTTTGGTGCCAACCTATCTACAAGACTAAGGCTGGGCCAGTTTATCTACAAAACAAAAGACATGGCCCTCAGGATATGATAGGATTAGCCCTCACTCAAGATCCAAACCAGGAAAAAGCCATTAAGCCATAATAGGAATTGCCCAAAGCTCCTTCATTACATCATCACCCAGCAAGATTCAACCAAGCCTGGGAATCTCACAACCAATCAGAGTACATTCCTTACACAGGAATAGGAAGCTCCAAGGCGGGGCCCAAGAGAGGGTATAAATCTCTCTCCCTCTCTCACTCATGTGCTCCTTTTGCCCAGGACCTCAAACCACCCTGAGTCTCCGGAGAAAGGTGGCATATAAATTGAATTAAAAAAATAAATAAATAATAAATGTGGTCCTGTCCACCATTAAACCATCTTTCCAAGCAGTCTCTATCTTTCTGGTGTCTTTCTCCCCACTTGGAACTTAACCCAGATGGCCATTTCTTCCAACACAAGAAAACAAGCAAGCTCGAAGAGAACTAATGACCCCTTACTTATAGAAACAATACAGTAAAAGAAGTGTCAGGCCCAATCCCCAGTGATAACCTAGGGAGATCCACCGAAATCCCGTTCTTTATTAGCTTACACTTAATAGACAGAATCTTGCCAGACTAAAGTTATAACCTTCAAAAGTAACAGACATACTCGGAGAGATTTCAGGGTGTGGCTACTCAGAACATTTTTCTCACCCCACCATCCAATTCAGGACTGTGTAGCCTCTTGTCTTGGGCCCCTTTCTGGAATAGGCTGCCTCCTTCCTGGGAAGCCACAGTACTACCGTGTTCCCCCCCAAAATAAGACTCTGTCTTATATATATTTTTGCCACCAAAAAAGGCACCAGGTCTTATTTTCGGGGGGTGGGGAATGTCATCCACTGACTCACCTCACTTGCATGTGTCATCTCCGCCCTCCTTTTCACTGTCAGAGGCCTTCAGGAAGTTCTTCTGCGGCCGGCAAGGCTTCTGTAGCTGATAACAGAGCTCCGGATCAATCCGATGCTCCGTTATCAGCTGCAGAGGCCTTCAGGAAAGCCTTGCCAGCCTTGCCAGCTACAGAAGAAATGGGCCGGCAAGGCAGGTGTCGGGATGTGCGAGGTCTGGCTGCAACTGTCCGAAGGTAAGTAGTAGAGCAGCTCTAACCCCCCCCCCAGCTTAATTTTTACCTGTGTACCCTGGAGTGGGCAGAGTGTTAATTAGGGCTTATTTTAGGAGTAGGACTTATATTGGGCACACATGTAAAAATCAAGCCAGGATTTACTTTCGGGATAGATCGTATTTTCGGGAAAACACGGTACTGTCGATATTCCCCCCACTTCTCCATCATCTTTACATTCCATCACAAGAACTGGATTACATCTCCTTGAAGTCAAAGCCTGAGCTCTGGGATCCTCCTGGACGAGTCTCTTTAAATTTTCTTGGCTGAGGAATGCTGGGAGTTGAAGTCCACAGGTCTTAAAAGTTGCCAAAGTTGGACACGCCTGCTTTAAACCAAACGCTTTAAAAGGTAAAGACCCTCTTCCAAGTTAAGAGAATAAACAGGTTACAACCGGACATCTCAAACGCAAAACCACTCTTTTGCAAATACCTGGCTTGCATTGAGGGCAACACTCTCCGTGAACGGCAACAGCCACACTTCCTGGGGGACACGTCAGACAAGACCGAGAATAGCAGTTTACTTTGGAGTGCAAACATTCGCATTCACGGCACAAGCCTTCCTTCCATTTTTCACCACTCTGCATGAGAAAAAACAGAAAAAAACGTTTAGCTAAGGGAGTCAGCATTGTCCGAAGACATTTTCCGTGGTCATGGGGCCAGCATGGCTATATGCCAAGGCGCATGGAACACTGTTACTTTCCCACCAAAGTGGTGCCTATTTATCTACTCACATTTGCATGCTTTCGAACTGCTAGGTGGGCAGGAGCTGCGGCAAGGAACTGGAGCTCACCCTGTCGTGCAGCGCTTGGGTCTCGAACCCGGGCTGTCAGCTTTCCAGCTAACAAACTCAGTGTCTTTAACCACTGAGCCATCCCAGCTCCATTTCAGAGCACAACACAATTTTTCTCAGCACAGCCAAGCTGATTTCCTTCTGCCTAACGTGAGGCTTGAAATACCGCAAGGAGAATTGCTGTATTTCCACAGTGTCTCCATCCATTAAGCTTCTCCTGTTCCCAGCTCAACATAAAGATCTCGTGAGGCCTTTTGGAGCTGTGGAACCTCTTCGAAAGGCAAGGTCGCAGCTATCTACAAAGAATGGCAACACGCACAACACAATTGTGTCACGACCTTGGACAGATCACGATGGCAAACACTGGCTACTCGAAACTCAAAAAAAGTGTTGTCTCAGCAACCCTCAGAAACTTTCTAAGAGCTTCTAGGGAACTCATTCCATCTCCTAAAGGACAATCAGACATTGATTGACAGCTACTGACGTGTGGGATAACTACATGAGAAGAAACAACAAAAGAGAATATTTGCAATTCGGGATTGAACTGCAAATATGAACTGCAGAGCCTGGATAGCTCAGCAGACTAATGCATTGTAATTTAACTCCAGCTGTCTGCAATTAGTAAGTTCGAATCTCGCCAAGGCTCAAGGTTGACTCAGCCTTCCATCCTTTCTAAGGGAGGTAAATTGAGGACCCAGTTTGTGGGGGCAATAAGCTGACTTTGGAAAAATATACAAAAGTATGAAGGCTATTGCTTAACGCATTGTAAGCCGCCCTGAGTCTCCGGAGAAGGGCGGCATATAAATCAATTTAAAAAAAAAAAAAAAACTATGGGGTTTTTGGCGCTCTCTGAGCTTGGTTGTTTCCTTGAAGACGTTTCATTACCAAACTAGGTAACATCATCAGTGCTAGCATGAAGTTGCCATCAAAACCTATGCATCTTAAAGAACCAGGGCAGTCATGGAGGAATGAGCATCAACACGCCAGGTAACCATTCATCTTTCTTTGGCTGTGCTAACCCAAGATGTTTAGCTTAAACTGATCTGTTTTCAATGCAGTCTTACGCTGCATCAATAGAGGGATAATATCAGGGTCATGTGAAGTTCTAGTAGTACCACTTTATACTGCAATGGTAAGACCACACTTGGAATACTACCTACAGTTCTGGTCACCACAATAACAAAAAAAAAAAAAAAGATGTTGAGACTCTAGAAAGAGTGCAGAGAAGAGCAATGTCAGCACTCCAAACTACATTCGTTCCAGTGCTGACATAAGGAGGAGAAGAGGGGGCAGCTGGCAAGAGGACGCTTGACTTTTCACCTACTTATTTTCCTTGAAGATAATATCCCCTAGGAGATGGGATGGGAGGGGGGACATTCCTGGGAGCTGAAGTAGTAGATATGGGGAGAGTGATTTGGAAGATGGCCAATGAGACGGAGAGAATTGGGGAACGAAAAGGGAAGATTTGGGGTCAGGAAGTCAGTGTTGGCTACGATATGATCGGGGACAGATTGTCGTGCTGAATAAATGAAAGATTTCATCAAAGACTATTTGTTTGGAAAATGCAATTTATTTTGAGACGACACTGAAACCTGACAAGCAACAAAGATGATTAGGGGACTGAAGGCTAAAACATATGAAGAACGGTTGCTGGAATTAGGTATGTGTAGTCTAACAACAAAAAAAGGGATGTGGTGGCTAAGACACTGAGCTTGTCGATCAGAAGGTCGGCAGTTCAGCGGTTCGAATCCCTAGTGCCGCGTAACGGGGTGAGCTCCCGTTACTTGTCCCAGCTTCTGCCAACCTAGCAGTTCGAAAGCACGTAAAAAAAATGCAAGTAAAAAAATAGGGACCACCTTTGGTGGGAAGGGAACAACGTTCCGTGTGCCTTTGGCGTTTAGTCATGCCGGCCACATGACCACGGAGACGTCTTCGGACAGCGCTGGCTCTTCGGCTTTGAAACGGAGATGAGCACCGCCCTCTAGAGTCAGGAACGACTAGCACAGATGCGCGAGGGGAACCTTTACCTTTAGTCTAACAAAGAGAAGGACTAGGGGTGACAGGATAGCAGTCTTTCAATATTTGAGGGGCTGTCACAGGGACGTCTGGGAAGAATGGCTTGCCTTTAGAAGTTATGGGTGCCCCATGACTGGAGGTTTTGAAGAAGAGACTGGATAGCCATTTGTCCGTAATGGTACAGGGTCTCTTGCTTGAGCAGGGGGTTGGGCTAGAAGACCTCCCAGGTCCCTTCCAACTCTGTTATTCTATTTTTTACAGCAGCTGAACCATGAACTAAGTAAATAAGTTGGAGTTGCACAATGTACCAAAGCACAAAAAAAAAAAAATGTAAGCATGATTAATATGAAACAAACTGAGCCTCTTATGTGAATCCTTCACAGTCCTGGCTACATACAGGTAGTCCTCAATTTGCAACAACAATTGAGCCCAAAACTTCTGTTGCTAAGTGAGACATTTCTCGAGTGAGTTTTAACCCCATTTTACTGTGACTTTTCTTGCCACAGTTGTTGAGTGAATCACTGGAGTTGTCAGATTAATAACATGGTTGTTAAGTGAATCTGGCTACCCCATTGACTTAAAGGTCGTAAAATGCGATCACATGACCCCAGAATACTGCAAACTACAATCTTGTAGTACAAATGTTTACATTTGCAAGATGTCAGTGTCAGGGTTCCAAGTAACACCCCCAACGAAATCAAACTCCGAGGCTTGAAGTTCCTCAAAGCTAACTTTTATTAGAGATGTCATATTGGCACATCTGGGAAAACCCGAATCTGAGAGCTTCCAGGTTTTCCACACCCAAAAGAAAATTCAAGTCCTTGCCCTTCACTCACATGTCCACCATACGGCCAATCAGGTACCCTCCGTAACAGAAGATACCTCCTCATTCTTCTCAGTACAGCTGCAGGGCCCAAGGGCCTTGTCTTTCTATAAAGAATTTTATTGTGACTACATATCTTCTCTCTATGCAATCCCACCCTCCCAATTTCCCACCGTAGGATTGTGGCAGGCCTGAAGGCACAGAGGTAGAAATATGGCCTCCAGGTCTGACAGTCAGTGGCCAAAGGCGAACAAGGTCCAGGCAGAAGAACATCATAATGGCTTCAAAATCTAAGGGACTGTTTTAGACAAAACTCAACAGCACTTCGTGCGGCCGTTGATAAAAATAGGATCGCCAACATAATCGCCAATGTCCGATGACAGATATGGCACAAGAAGAAGTGGCCCCTGACCAGAGGTGGGTTTCAGCAGGTTCTGACCAGTTCTGGAGAACCGGTAGCGGAAATTTTGAGTAGTTCGGAGAACCGGTAGTAAAAATTCTGACTGGCCCCGCCCCCATCTATTCTCTGCCTCCCAGCTGATTGGGAGGGTACGCGGATTTTGCAGTATCCTTCCCCTGGTGTGGGGTGGGAATGGACATTTTACAGTATCCTTCCCTTGCCACGCCCAAGCCACACCCACCAGGCCATGCCACGGCCACCAAGCCACACCCACAGAACCAGTAGTAAAAAAAGTTTGAAACCCACCACTGCCACTGACCAATATGTATTCCGTGCTTCCATGCTACTGAATATGTTTTTTTCTAGCCAACATCTACCTTGGCAACTCTACTATTTGCTAAATCAGCGAGTTACTTACGTCTTTGGTAGAGTCTTTGTAAATACAGGGACCCCCTCTTGAAATGCATTCAGGGCAACATTTGCCTGGTAAATGAGATAATTCTTCACCCTGCAGAGAAATTGAGCATTACAATAAGATACCTAGAATCAGCTCTTCTTCTTTTTTTTTTTTAAATGATGCCGAGAGAAGAGATAGGCAAGCTGGCCATTTTTTCCCTCCGGAACACAGTTTTTAAAATCCTCTTTTATCAGTCTCATTCCATCACTGAGTTCCCTTCCAAAAAGATAAGTATCATTGTGTCTCTACAAAGACTGCACAAAAAAACTCTCCTTGAAATGCCACAACGCTGACAACTAGGTCAACTCATGGGAGAAAGTGGAGAATTCAGTTTCATGGATTGAATTGTATCTGCTGGAAGTTGCAATTTCCTTGTCTAACCTCCCGGAATACGACTGATCCCGGATCTCCGCACTTTCCGTAAGGCCCTGAAGACGTTTTTATTTCAGCAAGCCGGGCTGGCCTGAATAGGTTTTATGGGTTAGTTTTTTAATTGTATAGCTTGGGGTTTTAAATTGGGAGGCCGATTAATTTAATTTATTTTTAGTTATTTTTTTTATTTTTTTTAAATTTGATTTATATGCCGCCCTTCTCCGAAGACTCAGGGCGGCTTACAATGCGCTCAGCAATAGCCTTCATCCTTTTGTATATTTATACAAAGTCAGCTTATTGCCCCCACAAACTGGGTCCTCATTTCACCTACCTTAGAAAGGATGGAAGGCTGAGTCAACCTTGAGCCTTGGCGAGATTCGAACCTTGCAGTAATTGCAGGCAGCTGGTCTTAAAAAGCTTAATAACAGGGTGCCTTAAACCCCTGTACTACCAAGGCTCTTAACTTTTATATTGTATGTTATTTTAATTTTCAGCTGTTCACCACCCTGAGTCCCTTCGGGGAGAAGGGCGGGATATAAATTCAATCAATCAATCAATCAATCAATCAATCAATCAATCAACCTCTTTTCCGCTGGACAATCTCCTTCCATTAAATACTCTAGGGCAGGGTGTCAAACTCTTATTTCATTGCAGGCCACATCAGAGTTGTGTTAGACCGCAGGGGGCTGGGATGGGCGTGGCCAGCTTGACGACATTCCTGTTGGGGGAGCCCGAGCGCTCTGCCAGCGAAAACGGGCCCCCGAGCTCCGTTTTTGGCTGCCACAGCCTCCTGCAACCCTCCGCCAGTGAAAACGGAGTTCGGGAGGACCGCATGTGGCTCTGTTTTCACTGGCAGAGGGTTGCAGGAGGTCGGGGCAGCCGAAAACGGAGCTCGGGAGCCTGTTTTCGTTGGCAGAAGCATCACGGGCCTGTCCTTCGCTGTTTCCAGGGCCAGATCTAAGTACCCTGTGGGCCGGATCCAGCTACTTTGACCTTGAGTTTGTCACCCCTGCTCTAGAGCAGTGGCCTCCAAACTTTTGGGCACCAGGGACCGGAGAGAGGTTTTTCCACAGACTGCACAGGTCATGGTTTCACCTGCTGCTTACATCCCGCGGATGGGCTTCACTGGTTTACATGGCCCGGTTTCTAGCATGTCATGGCCCGGTGCTGGTCCACGGACCAGGGGTTACGGACTCCTGCTGTAGGGTGCCAAACACAGCACCTGTATCTTTGATTGGCACAACCTTACCATGAACCTTCCATAAAGGTTCAAGATCTGCTCCCATCACGTACATCTGGCGTGGACCTGATAAGAATCCATGTCCAATCAGAAGTAACAGTAACTCCCACAGCAATTGTTATTATTGTTAATTTAATATATTTTTTTTAATTTCTGTACCTCTCACTTCTCTGACTGTGCTATGCCTCCTGCAGCTGGGAAGTTATACTATAGAACAGTGATGGCTAACCTTTTTGCCATCGCGTGCCAGGAAGGGGGGGGTTGGGGGAAGTTCGCGTGCGTGTATGCCCACACCCATAATTCTATGTGCCCCGCCCCACCCCTGCTTCTAGCACGCGATGGCCCAGTAGGCCTGTTTTTCTTTCTCACCTGGCTCCAGATCTTCTCTATGCATCTGGGGAGGGCGAAAACAGCCTTTCCCACCCCCTCAGAGGTCCTCCGGAGGCCCAAAAGGGCCCGTTTTCCAACTTTTGGTTAGACAGGAAGTGACTTTTTTGCTGTCCCCAGCCTCCAGAGTCTCCTAGAGAGGCTGAGAGCTGAGCCGGCGTGCCAGGCAACATGGTTCCGCGTGCCACCTGTGGCACACGTGCCATAGGTTCGCCATCACGGCTATAGAATCTGAGTTAGGTCCTCAAGTCTCAGTCTTTTGCCATAGAAGTCCTTGTAGATTAGTTTCCAAGATTCTCCCAATTCCTCATCTTACAAAGTTCAGACTTCCACGAAGGGTTAGGACGGGGGAGAACAGAACAGAACAATAGAGTTGGAATAGAGGTCATCTAGTCCAACCCCCTGCTCAAGCAGGAAAACCTATATCACTTCTGACAAGTGGTTGTCCGGTCTCTTCCTAAAAGCCTCCAGTACCTAAACCTTCTGAAAGCAAGCTTTGATTGTTCTCACTGTCAGAAAATTTCTCCTTCTCTCTAGGTTGCTTCTCTCCTTGATTAGTTTCCATCCATTGCTTCTTGTCCTACCGTCAGGTGCTTTGGAGAATAGCTTAACTCCCTCTTCTTTGGGGCAGCCCCTGAGATATTGGAACATTGCTACCATGTCACCCCTAGTCCTTCTTTTCACTAGACTAAGATAAAGGTAAAGGTTCCCCTCGCACATATGGGCTACTCGTTCCCGACTCTAGGGGGCGGTGCTCATCTCTGTTTCAAAGCCAAAGAGCCAGCACTGTCCAAAGATGTCTCCGTGGTCATGTGGCCAGCATGACTAAACGCCAAAGGCGCACAGAATGCTGTTACCTTCCCACCAAAGGTGGTCCCTATTTTTCTACTTGCATTTTTTAGGTGCTTTTGAACTGCTAGGTTGGCAGAAGCTGGGACAAGTAACAGGAGCTCATCCCGTTACACGGCACTAGGGATTCGAACCGCTGAACTACTGACCTTTCAATCGACAAGCTCAGCATCTTAGCTACTAAGCCAACACTAGAGTCCCTCTTTTTCACTAGACTAGACATACCTAATTCCTGCTACCATTCTTCATATATTTTAGCCTCCAGGCCCCCAATCATCTTTGTTGCTCTTCTCTGCATTCTTTCCAAAGTCTCAACATCTTTTATTTTTATAACGGAGTGATCAAAAACAGCATACAGGCTATAAAGCATTGATTTGTCTCAATGGAAAGGCCTAGAAAGAAATGCTACAGGAGCCAGCCCTTTACCTGGGCAGTCCCCGGCTCTCCTGCTTCATTTAAATTCATGGCAGGTCCCCAATTTGATCTTTCTGTACTGGTTTCATTGCTCAAGTCAAGAAGAGATCCCGATCTTTTCTTGCCTCATGAAAAGGTCACAATCTGTCTTGAACAAGCTTGAGATCAAGCAAATGGACAGAAAATTGCTTTTTCTACAAGACTCGAACAAGGAATTGGTTCATAATTGAAGGTTTTACAAGGCAGGGCGGTGATGTCACAACAGCACTGGAAGGGGATGGATTGGGGTTCTTTAACGCTTTCAAGGAGTCAGGGGACATGGCCTCCTAGATTCTGTCAGAGACATAACACACTCCTTCTGAACAAGGTTCAAATTGTCCTACCGCAAACATAGACCTAGAAGACTCTACGGCTGGGAGAGATAGAAGGAAAGAAAAGAAGGTGGCGCCATGGTGGCGCAGTGGTTAGATTGCAGTACTGCAGGCGACTTCTGCTGACTGCCGGCTGACTGCAATCTGGCAGTTCGAATCTCACCAGGCCCAAGGTTGACTCAGCCTTCCATCCTTCTGAGGTGGGTCAAATGAGGACCCAGATTGTTGGGGACAATAGGCTGATTCTGTAAACCGCTTAGAGAGAGCTGTTGTTCTGCCCCAGCTACAGACCCCAAAGAACGCAGCACACACAAAGTCCGTTCAAACCTTAATTTACTGAATAAACCAGTCTTTTACAACAACGGCCGTTAATTAATTGCATTAACAGCCACCAAGAATTCAAAGAATAATAACTGAAAACTTATTATGGTTGGCAGAATGCCCAGAAGCAATTTGCAGGAAGCTGATAAGATAAGCAAGACAAGACACGAAGGTATGTGAACTAAGTTGTTCCCTGCAAATTGCTTCAGTCAGCGTTCCTCCTTAAATAGGCTAAGGGAGTGGCCAATTAGCCCCAAGCCTTACTCTCGAGAAGACCATCTCCTGAGGAGCCACTCCTGCCTTTTGGCAGCTCTGCGCGCCCATGCATCGAGAAGAGGCTCCTCCTCTTCGTCTTCTTCACTTAAGGGAGCTTCTGGAGGTTCTGAAGGCCCTGGCTGAATCCCCGCCTCTGGCACCACATCTTCTACAGCCTCCTCATTGTCTGACTCGAGTGCCAGCTGCACAGGCTGCTGGCGCAGCACCACACCAGCCTCCTCGCTGTCTGAATCAGCTACTAGCTGCACAGGCCGCGTAAGGGCCACAACAGCTGTAAAGCACTGTGAAGCGGTATATAAGTCTAAGGGCTATTGCTATTGTTATGGACTCAGAGACAGTGGTGATGGATGCAACATTGGAAGATCTGTACGACCAGGCTGGGGATAGATCAACCTGGAGAAAATCTATTGGATCATTAAGAGTCAATACTGGACCTGATGGCACATAATCAATTACAGGTAGTTCTCGACTGTTCGTTTAGCGACTGTTTGAAGTTATAACGGTACTGAAAAAAATAATTGAGGGGCTGACACAAAGAAGAGGGGGGGTCAACCTATTCTCCAAAGTACCTGAGGGCAGGACAAGAAGCAATGGGTGGAAACTAATCAAGGAGAGAAGCAACCTAGAACTGAGGAGAAATTTCCTAACAGTGAGAACAATTAACTGGTGGAACAGATTGTCGAGACTGGACAGCCACCTATCTGAAATGGTATAGGGCTGTGATGGCTAACCTTTTTGCCGTCACGTACCAAAAGTGGGGGGAGTGCAGGGGGATCACACGCGTGCATGCCCACACCCATAATTCAACGCCCTCCAGTGCCCCGTGCATGTGTGCACGACCCCCCTCCCCGCACTCCCCCCACTTTTGGCACATGACGGCAAAAAGGTTACTGGTGGGCCCGGTAGGCCTTTTTTTCGCCCTCCCCAGGCTCCAGAGGCTTTCTTGGAGCCTGGGAAGGGTGAAAACGGCCTCCCCCACCCCCCTGGAGGTCAGAAACGGCCTGTTTCCCGATTTCTGGTGGGTCCGGAAGGCCCGAAAATCAGCTGGCCGGCACACGCAGGCGCGCTGGAGCTGAGCTAGGGCAACGCTCACGTGCCCACAGATGTGGCTCTGCGTGCCACCTGTGGCACATGTGCCATAGGTTCGCCATCACGGGTATAGGGTCTCCTGCTTGAACATGGTGGTGGACCAGAAGACCTCCAAGGTCTGAAAACCAAGGATTTCAGTATCTGATGTTTTCAGGAGCTTGAATAAAAAAAGGCCACAAAAAATATATTCTGAGTAAGCGAAACATAAGACATAACTGGGGAAATTCTTTACCTGGCCACAGTCCACTCTGGCACACTTGGCCTTCCGACAAGCAACCCGTCCTCCATCACAGGTACAGAAGTTACAGTCCGTATCATGCCACATGTCACTGTGGTATTTGAGGGTGCCGTTGTGTACACAGCTGCCCTCGGAAAGGACACACTCTTCACAACATTTCCCAGGGCGCCGCACTTTGTTCTCCTCCTGGGAGGATACAAGTGGAAGATTGAGGCCGTGAGAAAGGGGGCAAATTTCCCAGAAAATCTCCAAGTTTTAAGCGTAGGAATTACCTGCCGACAATTCAGTGGGAGGCAGCTCTTTGTAAAGCACCTGGATTCCCCTGTATCACATACGCAGGTGGTGCAAGCATCCTTCTTCCACTCTTCACCATGCTACATAAGAAAGAAAATTATTATTATTATTATTATTATTATTATTATTATTATTATTATTATTATTTTGCAAAAAGTTTTTTATTTTTTAAACAAAAACAACATAAGAAAGAGAATTACTTTAATGACGTCTAGTTCTCGACTTACAACCATTCGTTTATAGTGACCGCTTTGGAGTTAAAACTGAAAAAGACTTTTGACCGTTTTTCACACGTACGACCGTTGCAGCATCCCCACAGTCACATGATCAAAATTTGGGTGTTTGACAACAGGCTCATATTTATGATGGTTACAATGTCCTGGGGTCATGTGATCCCCTTTTGCGACATTCTAATGAAGGTCAATGGGGAAGCCAGATTCACTTAACAACCATGTATGTATGTATGTATGTATGTATGTATGTATGTATGTATGCATGCCCCTATCTATCTATCTATCTATCTATCTATCTATCTATCTATCTATCTTTCCATCTATCTATCTTTCCATCTCTCTATATCTATCTATCTATCTATCTATCTATCTATCTATCTATCTATCATCTATTTATCTATTTATCTATTTATCTATTTATCTATTTATCTATCTATCTATCTATCTATCTATCTTAGTACAGGGGTGGCAAACTCAATTTCACTGAGGGCTGCATCAGGGTTGTGTTTGACCTCGGGGGGCCGGGGTGGGCGTGGCCAGCTTGACATCACTTGTGTTGGGGGTGCCTGTGGCCCGAGCGCTCTGCCAGCAAAAACAGGGTCCCAAGCTCCATTTTCGGCTGCAACTGCCTCCTGCAACCTTCTGTCAGCAAAAATGGAGCTCGGGAAGGCCATGTGCGGCCCACTCAAGCTCAGTTTTCGGCTGCGATGGCATCCTGCAACCCTCTGCCAGCGAAAATGGAGCTCGGGACGGCTGCACATGGCCCTCTCGATCTCCGTTTTCTCTAGCAGAGGCATAGCAGGCCAGTCCTTTGCCGTTTCCAGGGCCAGATCTAAGCATCCTGTGGGCCGGATCCAGCCCCGGGCCTTGAGTTTGACACCCCTGATCTAGTCAGTCAGTCAGTCAGCCAGTCAGTCAGTCAGTCAGTCCGTCCGTCCATCCGTCCATCCATCCAATGTATCTATCTATCTATCTATCTATCTATCTATCTATCTATCTATCTATCTATCTAATCTATCTCTGCTTGCAGTTCAGCAGTTCGAATGTCACCAGGCTCAAGGTTGACTCAGCCTTCCATCCTTCTGAGGTGGGTAAAATGAGGAACCAGATTGTTGGGGGGCAATAGGCTGACTCTGTAAACCGCTTAGAGAGGGCTGGAAAGCATTGTAAAGCAGTATATAAGTCTAAGTGCTATTGCTATTTCTGTCTGTCTGTCTATCTATTTGTTTATTATGAAATTTATTTGCCGCCCATCCCGTATCCAACGACTGTTACTAACTTAACAACCGCAGTGAATGACTTAACGATTGTGGCAAGAAACCTCGTAAAATGGGGCCAAACTCACTTTACAACTGTCTTGCTTAGAAACTGGAAATTTGGCACTCGGCTGTGGTCGTAACTCAAGGACTGCTTGTATTCTTTTTGTTCTGACTGCCGATGCCCACCAGAAGTCACGGTTAGAGTGCTAGTCAAATGCACACTCTCAGCCAGGAAGCAAATCCTGGGTCGCGGCCCTTTACTCCACCGTCTTATCTGCACAGGTGATAGGCCCCATTCAGTCTTGCCAGAACATACCTTACTTCTTCTGATCCCTTTCAACTCATCGGGCTTTCCAAGAAGAAAGTACAGTCAATTGTTTGTTTTTTAAAAGTTAAAATTTCAAGTCGAGGGTGAGGGAGAAAGAAAAATGCACATCCAATTCGTCCTTGTGGCATTTTATCTGAAGGTTTACCTGGTATAATGCCCCAGAGGCAAAGCAGGGTTTTCGAGCACATTCTGGACAACATTTTCCAGCTGGTACGACGAGACTTTCATCCTAATCATTGGCAGAGGGAAGAAGAAAAAAAAAAAAGCAAATAAAATAGAGATAAGACGCCAAAAGGCCAAAGGGTTGCATGGAGATTCGAAATCGTCTTATATCTCTTGCCCACTGAAGAAAAAGTTCTGTTTTTATTTAACAAATAGCTGATAAACCGGCGTTGCCCGGGTATTTATTTATCCCAATCCTGTATTAGACAGAAGAGCAACTTTACCCTGAGCCCTGATTTCCTCAAAAATTAAATTAGTTAAAAATGTTTTCCCTGTGCCCCCAGAATCATGAAGTAAAATGATGCCATCTTGTTGTTGTGCTAGCTGATCCATGGTGCTCAAGAAAAATCAAAGCCTTGTTGAAAATGTCCGGACCAAACGTAATTTCTAATGTTGGATTTTCCCCCTTACCAGAGGGAGCCCCCTTGTGGAGTACTGTGAAGCCGTTACCATGGCAACTCCACTATGCTGCACAGTAGAAGCCATTTTAATGCAGTACAGTAGAAGCCATTTTAAGGCACAACAGACTGTATCTTAACAGAACACACATCCCCGAGGGGTGTTAGGAGTGCCTTACCCCCACAGTATTTGTTTCCAGAGAGTAAGGCATCTGTGTACCAAGTTTGGTTGAAATTGTTTGAGGCATTCCAGAGTTATGCTGGAACATACACACACACAGAACAATTTATATATATATAGATAACTCTATATCCCACCAATCTCCGAATGAGTCATAAAACTGCAGAGGCTAGGCAAAAAAGAACAATTAATTGAAACTTCCATGGTATGATTGAAACAAAAAAATCACTAAAATTTTAAAATTAATGATCACTTATAACATAACAATACAAAGTAAAAAAACGACCTTTAGAATCTTTCAACCAGTTCAACATTCTATGAATTATGGATTGCCCTTGAGTTACAACCATTCATTTAGTGATGGTTCTAAATTTCAATGGCACTGAAAAAAGTGACTTATGATCATTTTTCACACCCATAACTACGGCAGCATTCCCCATGGTCATGTGATTCAGGGGTGAAATGCAGCAGGTTCTGACAGGTTCTGGAGAACCGGTAGTGGAAATTTTGAGTAGTTTGGAGAAACAGCAAATACCACCCCTGACAGGTCCCAGAGTGGGGTGGGAATGGAGATTTTGCAGTATCCTTCCCCTGGAGTGGGGTGGAAATGGAGATTTTGCAGTATCCTTCCCCTGCCACACCCACCAAGCCACGCCCACCAAGCCACACCCACAGAACCGGTAGTAAAAAGATTTGGATTTCACCACTGATGTGATTAAAATTCAGATGCTTGGCAACTGACTCGTATTTATGACGGTTGCAGTGTCCTGGAGTCATGAGATCCCCTTTTGCGACCTTCTGACAAGCAAAGTCGATGGGGAAGTCAGATTCACTTAACAACCGTGTTACTCACTTAACAAGTTACTGATGCCCTGAACAACTGTGGCAAGAGTGGGTCGTAAAATGGGGCAAAACTCACTTAGCAACTGTTTCGCTTGGGAACAGAAATCTGGGGCTCAATTATAGTCGTAAATCAAGGACTACCTGTATGCATTCTTAGTGAGGAAGAAGAATAGAAACGCGTTCAGAGAAAATTTCACCCTCCGCAACTTCCAGCCTTTGCAGATAATCTGTGGCTGCCAGAAAGGAGATTGGGAAGCATGATGGACAGGGTGACAAAGCTCATACTTAAAAAGAGAAAAATTCAAACGAAGCAAATGAAGCTTATTTGATGTCCTTCACACCTTAAGATTAAACCCAGCTGGAGATTCTATCAAAGAACACAGGAAGAGAAATTGCTCGAAGATTGCTAGAAGGGTTTTGTCCTCTCCCCAAGACTCATCTTATGGCTCAGCCAGCGAATAAGAAAAGAAGAGGGATGTCATATTTGCCAAAACCTAACAATTACCCTGTCTTTTTTAACACAGTAGGAGGACATTTGTTTGACATAATACTTAGTCCATGATGGCCTCAAATCAAAAAGATTCTGGAAGCCTCTTTTCCCACTAACAAATTGTACTGAAATTGCAGAGTATCATACCCATACCAACAAAACTCTGAGGCAGGTAGATTCCTCAAAGAATAATTTTATTGAATATGTCATTGTTAGGAAATGATTATTACCTAACTTGTTGGGTTGGCAATATATAAACCCTCAATATAGCTTTAAGATTGCTGTATTGCATCATACTGTGTCCTGATTGGTTAGCTCTGTAGCCAATCTCCTTAAGAGGGAGCTAGAAATATGGTTTGTTTCTCTTTGCTGTTTTTGCTCTCTAATATCGCTGTTTGCAAATCCAGAAGAACTGTTTCTTGTGAATGACCACGACGACTGGTAAGAAGACTTTGTTATTGGATTATCCCTGGACTTTCGTTTTGCTATCTCTTGCTTTATATGTGTATGACCTGGACTGTTTATTGGACTGTGCCTTACTATTTCCTAAAAGTAAACACAACTCAGTGTATCTGTGTGTTGGCTGTGTTTATTCGTAACTACTGTCAAATCGCTTTCATGTGCACACCCTTGCTACTCAAGGGTTACTCTGCGAATTCCTTAACAGTCATATTGGCACAGGCTGGTGAAACCATTTTCAGCCTCCGCATGCCCCATTTTCCGCCCATTCCGAGCATCGGAGGGGGGGGAAATGGGGCACACAGAGGCCGAAAACAGGGCGCGCTGAGGCGGCAATAGGCTATGGCAATCCCTGCAGCCTGAAACAGCTGATTGTCAGGAGGCAAATCCAACCAACAATCAGCTGCTAGTGCTAATCAGGCTGTGCTGAAACTGAAACGGGCTGTTTGCTGTTTGCTGCAAGGAGGCAAATTGCCGGGAGGTAGAGGCACAGGCAGATTTTTTCCCCCCTAGTTTTCCTCCCCAAAAGCTAGGTGTGTATATATACACACATCCTCTTCAAGAAGGGCTTCGTATTTGTAATGTGACTCCTGCTGGCTCTTTAAATTCAGGATGGAAGAGTGAAGGGAGACCATTGCAAGAGAGAAATTGTTTACTGCCTGAAGTTGATGATCCGTGTTGTTTGGCCTCCTGCTGCTATGTACCATGTTCCTCCTTAGTAACCCGAATGACTAGTCATCCGTTTAGGGAGCTCCATTCCTCTTAATGTGGAATAAAAGGAATGCCCATAAGATAAGACACTCTTTTGATAGTAAAAGAACTGTGTGGCTTCAGAGATGGGTGATTGTAGGAGAGGGAGTGGCAAAGAGAAGAGAGCACTAGATAAGAGCTAATGGAATTCAAGAGAGCTTGTGAGTACGTTAAGTGAGTCTAGGCTGATTCCTCTCTTGACTCCACCACCCAGGCTCTGTCTGTCTTTCTCCTACAGAGGTAGATTTTTCTAGTGATTTCCCAACTCTACTCCACAATCAATAATGGAACAACTCCTGTCCATGAGAAGAGTTAGAACAAAAGAGGTTCACTCTCTTTTTTGCGAGGACACGGTATTCCTAAATACGTCGTAAGGTCAAATCAGAAGTATGTTCCATTCTCTGGTTTACTTGTCCTAAATATTTAAAGCCTACTAAGCACACACAATCACACACACACACACACACATACACACACACACACACTACTACACGTGATAAAGCTTTAACTCTCTTACTTAATTAAGAGGTAAAGCAAAAGAGGACATCAATATTTAACTTAACTGGGAAAGGGAGTAAAGAGAAACGCAGCATCAATATTTTATTGGAATAACAGAATCTAGCAATTTGGTCACTGATTACAAGCAGAGTGACTTATAAACACTCGGCAATTCATTAAAATGCAATTATGCGCTAAGAGCAAATTAAGGCTGCAGTAAAGGCTTGATTTAATGAACCATTAGCGGGGGGGATGTCTTGTTTTCCCACAGGTCCGTTAAATCCAAATGTATGTCATTTGGGTTAATTTACCTTATTTTACCTCGTTTGCATCATGATATCATGGCACCGTTGCTGCAAGTGGCGTAAGCAGTGCCATGTCCTTTACATGAGTTAAATGTGGGTAACATGAATATGCAAAAGGAAATGAGGTACATTAAGAGAAGCGTCTGGACTATTTTGGATATAACAGACTGAAACGACTCGTTCGGGAACATAATTATCTGAGCTCCATTAATCGGGGGCTCTTACAGTCAAAAGTTCCAGGGTGATTCTACAGGTAGTCCTCGACTTACAACAGTTCATTTAGTGACGGTTCGAAGCAGGGGTGAAATCCAGCAGGTTCTGACAGGTTCTGGAGAACCGGTAGTGGAAATTTTGAGTAGTTCGGAGAACCGGCAAATGCCACCTCTGGCTGGCCCCAGAGTGGGTTGGGAATGAAGATTTTGCAGTATCCTTCCCCTGGAGTGGGGTGGGAATGGAGATTTTGCAGTATCTCCCCTGGAGTGGGGTGAGAATGGAGATTTTGCAGTATCCTTCCCCTGGAGTGGGGTGGGAATGGAGATTTTGCAGTATCTTTCCCCTGGAGTGAGGTGGGAATGGGGATTTTGCAGTATCCTTCCCCTGGAGTGGGGTGGGAATAGAGATTTTGCAGTATCCTTCCCCTGGAGTGGGGTGGGAATGGAGATTTTGCAGTATCCTTCCCCTGGGAGTGGGGTGGGAATGGAGATTTTGCAGTATCCTTCCCCTGGAGTGAGGTGGGAATGGGGATTTTGCAGTATCCTTCCCCTAACTCACTTAACAACTGCAGCGATCCACTTAACCACTCCGGCAAGAAAGAGTCGTAAAAATGGGGCAGAGCTCACTTAACAAATGTCCCTCTTCGCAACAGAAACGCTGGCCTCAATTGTGGACGTAAGTCGAGGACTACCTGTATTTATAGATTGTTGGCATTTTCTGTTGGTTTAGGATGCAAGGTTTTCTGGAGAAAGCTCTGATGCTGGAACCATGGTAGGAAAAGGCAAGAAGAGGAAAACCAACAGTTAGGAGGTTGGGATCATTTATAGTGACAATGGGTGCCCGTTTGGAAGAAGTGAAAATGAAATGAAATGAAAAACCAGGTTAGGGACAAATTGCCCTAAAGAAAATTTATCTAGTTAAGTGGGAGTTAAGCGCTGATCTCAACTTGATGGCACATAATCAATCAAGATGCAACATGTGGGTATGTCCCTGTGAGGGAGTAAAGAAAGGATTGCTTTCTACTATATTTGGGGAAAGCAGCCATAGCCAGGTAAAAATACTTCCCACCCCCACTTCTTGAAAACTCAGCATAGCTCAAAGTACTGTAAAAGTTTACAGCTCCAGAAACCTGAGAGGAGGAGGAGGAGGAGGAGGAGGAAAGAGGAGGGGGGCGGGGAGGAGAGGGGAAGGGGGGAGAAGAGGGGAGGAGGGAGGAGAGAAGCGAGAAGCGAGTAGGAGAAGGAAGAGGAGGAGGAGGAGGAGGGGGAAGGGCAGGTGTAGAGGGGGAAAAGAGGGGAAGGAGGAGGAGAAGGGGAAGGGGTAGAGAGGGAGAAGAGGGGAGAGGAGGAGGAGGGGGAAGGGAAGAGGGAAGAAGGAGGGAAGAGGAGGGGAGGGGGAGGGGAGGAGAAGGAAGAGGAGGGGGAGGGGAGAGGGGGAGGAGGGGAGAGGGAAAGGAGGAGAGAGGAGGGAAGAAAGGAGGGAAGAGGAGGGGGACGGGGAGGGGAGGGGGGAGAAGAGGGGAGGACGAGCGAGGGAGGAGGGGAAGGAAGAGGAGGGAGGAGAAGAAGGAGGAGGAGAGGAAGTGGAAGTGGAAGGGTAGAGGCAGAGAAGAGGGTAGAGGAGGAGGAGGAGGAAAAGAAAAGGAGGGGAAGGGGACAAGAAGGAGAGCGGTAGAGGGGGAGAAGATGGGGGGAGAAGGAGGAGAAGGGGAAGAGGAAGGGGGAGAATAGAGGGGGAGAAGAGGAGGAGGAAGAGGAGGAGCTGGAAATCTGTAATGTATGACCATTACAGGCAAGCAAGAAAGCTATGAGTCAATTGCCAGGATCACAAGCCACGAAATCGTATTTCTATGGCAATGCAACTGAGCAGCTGAGTATCCTAATGACGTCGTCAAGCCAAATCAGAGCGAGGGAAGTACTTCCTCCCCTCCTAGGGAACACAGCTGTTCAAACAGAGGAATTCTTCGGCCAAGAAGAAGAGGGGAGCCCCCTCCCTCCTTTTATTGCGTCTCTCCATAACTGCAACGTAGAGGAAACGGGAAACAGGGCCAGGTCTGTAATCCCGTTTTAATTTATATTTTCGGGAAGGCCAATCTTTTGTCAGGCAGCAGTTTCTCACGAGAGGATGCATCGATAAATCATCTAATTACAGCTTTAAAAAAAAGTAATAAAATGCAAAGAAGTTGACAGCATGCATAATAGATCTTACCGCACTACAGAATGCAGGTGGGCAAAAAATGGTGAAACACCGCAGAGAGCCGTCCCGACAGACGCATTTGGCACACGGGCTCAGCCGCCATTCCTTCTTGTTCGGGATGATTTCGCCGTCGAAAGAACAGGAGTCTAAAAGACAATAAAAACAGCCAAATTGGGTCTAGGTTTGAGGTACATGTATATTGAGGCTTCAGCTGGTGCAGAATGCAGCCGCGCGGGTAGTGATGGGACACTCTCATGTTACACCCCTCCTGCGGGACCTGCATTGGCTACCGGTTGCCCTCCAGGTGAGATTCAAGGTGCTGGTAATCACCTATAAAGCCCTACATGGCTTAGGCCCAGGGTATTTGGCGGACCATCTGCGGCCAGCGACAGCTCCCCATCGCCCAGTGCGTTCCCACAGGGAGGGCCTCCTTGGGGTGCCGCCGGCCAGACAATGTCGGTTGGCGACTCCTAGGGAGCGGGCCTTCTCTGTGGGCGCACCTACCCTGTGGAATCAGCTCCCCCTGGGGCTCCGGGTGGCCCCTGACCTTCGCTCTTTCCGCCGTTGCCTTAAAACATGGCTATTCCGCCTGGCCGGCTTGGACTGAAGGGGTTTTAGAGGGGATTTTAATAGTTTTTATAGTTTTATTGGGTATTTTTTAAAAAAATGAACTTTGTGTGTTTTATTGTTGTGAGCCGCCCTCAGTCTTTTCGGAGATAGGGCGGCATATAAGTCCAAATAATAAATAAATAAATATTACAAAGACATATAACAGATAACAGAATAACAGAGTTGGAAGGGGCCTTGGAGATCTTCTAGTCCAACCTCTATACCAGGGGTGTCAAACTCAAGGCCCGGGGGCCGGATCCGGCCAACAGGATGTTTAGATCTGGCCCGTGGGGCCGCCCTGGAAACGGTGAAGGACTGGCCCGCGGTACCCCTGGCGGTGAAAACGGAGCTCGGGAAGTCCGCACACGGGTCCTTCCGAGCTCTGTTTTCACTGGCAGGGGATTGCAGGAGGCAGTCGGCAGTCAACAATGGAGCCCGGGAGCTGTTCTGACCTAGCCTTTCCAAGAGCATGAAGCAGACTCCTCATCCGGATCAAATCTCTTTTATTTAGGTTAAAAGGAAATTCCTCTCCAGCAAAGTCCCAACAAACCTTCCGCCGTGAATTAAAAACTTGGCTTTTCAAATCCCTTGACCTGGACTGATGGGGTTTTAAGGGTTAAATTTTAATTTTTTTAGATTTTAGATTTTATTTTGTATTGTGGCTTGTGTTTTTAATATTGTGAGCCGCCCTGAGTCCATTGGGAGATAGGGCGGCATATAAGCTGAATAAAATAAATAAATAAATAAATAAAATAAATAAATAAAATAAATAAACAGCCTTTCCTGAGATTGCACAACTACAGACCTTTATCAGGCTTGGAGAGTTGCCAAGCCGATATCTTCCAAACGCTACACTGGAGCAACAATTCCTTGGCAAGAAGTCAGGAACAGATCTTCACCCTAATGAATTGAACTAATTGTCTCCTGCAAACTCCCCTCCCCTTTCGCTCCTCTTTATTCCATATGGGAGGGGCCATTCACCATCCACCTGTGTCTTTTCTCCCGAGTCGGCCCTTGTTCCTTAGCTGTTCCCTTCTCCTGGCAGCTCTGCGCATGCGCGCATCGGGAACTGTTCTGTCCCCGTCCCACATATGCACCCTCACAGACGGCCCGGAGTTAATAAGCCACACGACAAAGTCTTTGAAGATAAAGCTGGCAGCAACCCAGTGACTAGCTGCCAATTCAGACTTTACTCACACAAAACAAAGATTAGACTGCAAGCATTCTGATAAAGCAGGCAAAGTTTCAGCAATACAAGGATTAGTCCAAATGCAGTCCGACAAGGCAGGCAGAAGTCCAGTAACGCAGAGATCATGGATTATTTCTAGTTTTTGCTCATCACAAACTGAACCGGCCACCACACCCACATTTATACCCTGTGGGGTGTGGTCCAGTGACTCAGCTAATCTCTGGCACGCCTTCCCCTCTGCTGCGCACGCTTCTCCCTGCGCCGCTGTCGAGGATCCAGCCAGCACTTATCTCCTTCATCGCTGTCCACCTGTGACTGTGGGGACGTGCTTGGCTCTGGGCCTATCTCTTGGCCTTCGGTGTCCTCCGGAGGCATTGCCAGAGAGGAGGGTCCTGGAGAGGGAGGCCTTGCCAATTCCTCTTCCTCACTCTCAGAGTCTGCATCTGTCGATAGCCCAGGCTCAGGCAACGGAGCCACAACAGGAACAGGCTCCAGCTGTTCTTCTGTCCCACTGATATCCGGCTTCGAAGGCAGCTGATAACTGTTGGATGGCCCTGGCCCCATCTCTGCCTCCGACGCAGAGCACTCATCAGAGCCTTCCCCAGACTCCAGGACTGGCCCATGTTCCTCCCCAACCTCCTCACTGTCTGAGTCTGCCACTGGCTCCGCTGGCCGCTGGGGGGCCACAACAGGAGCCCATTTTTGCTGGCAGAGTGCTCAGGCCGCCACAGGCACCCCTGATATGAGTGACGTCAAGCTGGCCACATCCACCCTGGCCACACCCACTCCAGCTCTCCCCCTCCCCGAGGTCAAACACAACCCTGATGAGGCCCTCAATGAAACCAAGTTTGACACCCCTGCTTTATACCATTTTAGACAATGGTGTCAGGTTTCAATGTCATCTCAAATAAATTGCACTCCCAAACAATTAATCTTTGCTGAAATATTCCATTTATTGAGTACGACAGATCTGGCCCCGACTTCGTTGTAGCCGATACTAACTTTCTGACCAAACCCTTCCCTTTCCGTTCCCCAATTCTCATCTTCTCATTGGCCATCTTCCAAGTCAGTCTCCCCAGCTTCTGACCTCACCCCACAGGAATGTTCCCCCCTCCCATCCCATCTCCTAGGGGATATTATCTACAGAGAAAATAAATAGGTGAAAAGTCAAGCCTCATCTTTTTATGGCAGCATCAGAATGCTGACAAATGGCTGTCCAACCTCTTCTTAAAAACCTCCAGTGATGGAGCACCCACAACTTCTAAAGGCACTGGTTAATTGTCCTCATTGTTTCTCCTTAGTTCCAGGTTGCTTCTCTCCTTGGTTAGTTTCCATGCATTGCTTCTTGATTTGCCTTCTGGTGCTTTGGATAGTAGCTTGACTCCCTCTTCTTTGGGGCAGCCCCTCAAATATTGGAACACTGCTATCATGTCACCCCTGGTCAGGGGTGAAATGTAAAATTTGTTACTACCGGTTCTGTGGGCATGGCTTGGTGGGGGGGGTGTAATGTGACTGGGTGGGCGTGGCCAACTTTTGGGGTTTTTTTAACTTTTCAAAGCATTTTTCTAACGCTTTGAAAAGCCTCTGCTGATCAGGCAACTCGGCTGGGATCGTCAGAGACTTTTCAAAGCATTTTTTCTACCACCTCTTCGGCCAAGAGGTTGCAGAAAAAAATGCTTTGAAAAGCCTCTGATGATCCCAGCTGAGCCGCGCGATCATCAGAGGCTTTTGTTTTTTTTTACTTTTAAAAGCATTTTTTCGTCGGAAGAGATGGTAGAAAAAATGCTTTTAAAAGTTAAAAAAACCAAAAAAAAGCCTCTGATGATTGTGCAGCTCAGCTGGGCAGGGGTGGGAGGGCAAGGATTTTTGCTACCGGTTCTCCGAACCACCCGCCGCCATCACTACCGGATCGGGCGATCTGGTCCGAACCGGGAGCATTTCACCCCTGCCCCTGGTCCTTCTTTTCACTAAACAAGACAAACCCAATTCCTGAAACTGCTTTAGCCACCAGTCCCCTAATCATCTTTATTGTTCTTTTCTGCATTCTTTCCAGAGTCTCTACATCTTTTTTTAATAATATGATGACCAAAGTTGGATGCTCTATTCTAAGTGTTGTCTTACCAAGGCTTTATAAAGCAGTATTAATATTTCATGTGCAATACCCAGTCAAGCATTTCAACAATATTTTTACAGTCCCTCTAAGAAAAGAATGTACTTCTGGGGCATGTAATGGTACAAGCCAGGGGTGGGTTCTAAATTTTTTTACTACCGTTTCTGTGGGCGTGGCTTATTTTGTGGGCGTGGCTTGATCGTCATGTGACAATTCTTTAGGATTTAGCAGAGGTACTGGTCTACCAGGCTTTTAACTGCTTGCAGAGCTGTAGCGGTCTACTCATTTGTTTTTGGAGGCACTGGTCTACCCATTTATTTTTGCAGGCACCGGTCTACTCATTTATTTTTGCAGGCACTGGTCTACTCATTTGTTTTTGGAGGTACTGGTCTACCCATTTATTTTTGCAGGCACTGGTCTATTCATTTGTATTTGGAGGCACTGGTCTACTCATTTATTTTTGCAGGCACTGGTCTACTCATTTATTTTTGCAGACACTGGTCTACCCATTTATTTTTGCAGGCACCGGTCTATTCATTTGTTTTTGGAGGCACTTGTCTACTCATTTATTTTTGCAGGCACTGGTCTACTCATTTATTTTTGCAGGCACTGGTCTACCCATTTATTTTTGCAGGCACCGGTCTATTCATTTGTTTTTGGAGGCACCGGTCTACCAGCACACTGTCTTTTAACACTGATCAGCTGTAGGGCGGCCCTTTGAAGCCCCTCGGCAAGAGTTTAAACAGTTTTTTTTCCTTATAGCCCATCAGCTGGGACTCAGGAGACAGCAATAGATTGGGGGTGGGGCCAAATAAAAGGTAAGAATAATGGGGGGCGGGGGCAGAACCGGTTCGGTGATGTCATATCGTCACTGCTACCGGCTCGGCGGGACTGGGAGGAACCCACCACTGGTACAAGCGTAAAAACGCTGCGGCTTAAGCACACGTGTGCAACATTATTATGCAAGAATCAACGGTTGGAGTTTGCATCATCAAATAAAGATGAATATTTCATCACTTTGGAAGAATCATGCTTAGGAACAGATGTCCACGCTTTTCTGCCAAAATTGCAGTAGTAAATATAACGCAAAGGAGTATTGGCTTTGCCCACAATTTTGAGGAATGTTGGTTTCCATCACATTCCGACATTTGGCAACCGACTCCTATTTGTGACCGTTGCAGTGTCCCAGGGTCGTATGATCACCTTTTCCAACCTTCGGTCCGCAGAATTGTCTGGGTCGCTACCCATCCTCTTCACGACCTGTTTTCCTTGTTACCGTCTGGGAGGGGGCTCCGGGGTATCCGAAGCAGAACATCCAGATTCAGCCACAGTTTTGTTCCATATACGGTAGCGTCAATTCTCAAGTTTCCTCCTTCCAATACGTATTCAAAATGGACAGTGATTAATAAGTATATGTGATGTGATGAGGTATGGTATGGTGTGGTGTATGTGTGTGTAGTGTATCATGTGTATATGTGTGTAATGTAAGTGTACAGGTAGATACATATTTTCTTTTGAGAGCAGGCAACAGAATTTCATTTTTAATGTGTGCCACTGTGCTCACAGTAAAAAAGACAATAAAGGCTCTCTTCTCTTCTCTTCTCTTCTCTTCTCTTCTCTTCTTCTCTTCTCTCCTCCATTCCATTCCATTCTCAATAGCTTCTCTTCTCTTCTCTTCTCTTCTCTCTTCTCTTCTCCTCTCCTCTCTCCTTTTCTCCTCTCCTCCATTCCATTCCATTCTCAATAGATTCTCTCCTCTCCTCTCCTCTCCTCTCCTCTCCTCTCCTCTCCTCTCCTCTCCTCCATTCCATTCTCAATAGATTCTCTTCTCTTCTCTTCTTCTCTTCTCTTCTCTTCTCTTCTCTTCTCTTCTCTCTTTTCTCTTTCTCCTCTCCTCTCCTCTCCTCCATTCATTCTCAATAGATTCTCTTCTCTTCTCTTCTCTTCCCCTTCTCTCTTTCCCTCCCCTTCCCATCCCATCCCATCTCATTTTTTCTTACCTTACCTCATCTTATATCTCATCTCATGTCAAAGAAGCCAGATTCACTTAACAACTATATTATTAATTTAACACCTGCAGTGATTCACTTAACAACGGTGGCAAGAAAGATCGTAAAATGGGGCAAAATTCAATCAACAAATGTCTCACTTCACAACAGAAATTTTCAGCTCAGTTGCGGCCGTTAAGCCGAGGACTACCGGTGGTCCTTGACTTACGGCCACAACTGAGCCCAAAATTTACGTTGCTAAGTGAGACAGTTACGCGAGTTTCACCCCGTTTTATGACTTTTCTTGCCAAGGTTAAGCGAATCGAATGTCCCATGGATTTTGCCTGTCAGAAGCGCACACGACCCCAGGACTCCATCATAAATATGGGTCAGTTGCCAAGCTTCTGAATTTTGATTGCATGCCCATGGTGAAGTTGCAACAGCCGTTAACTTTGAATGGTCACTAAGAGAACTGTTCTAAGTCAAGGACTACCTGTATGTGCATATAACAAATAACTAACATGGTTAGAATTTGCAAATGCTGAGCTAGCAACACTGCTTAACTTTCCAGGTGGTAATGCAGGAGAAGGAGTGGAAGATCCTGGGGGTGGAGTTAAAAGGGGGATTAGCCTAGAATCCCTACATAGCCACAAGTAGATTAAACCAACCCTCCCTTGATTTCAGTTGACCCTTATCTAATGTTCTGTCCCCGTCCCACATGCACACACACCAACAGACGTCCAAGAGTTAAAAACCAAACCAGCCGACAAAATCCTTTTCCTTATGATAACGGAACTTGGCAGCAACCTAGTGGCTGCCTGCCAAGAGTTTATTACTCACGAAGAGATAACGTCTCTCCGCTTCTGGTACATCAAAGTAAAATGTTCAATAATTACACAGTAAATCAAGTCCAAATATAATCCAGCAAAGCCTATAGCAAAAGTCCGGCAATGCAGAATGGCGTGGAAGCTTTCAGCTTTGTTCGTCACAAGGCTTGACTGGCCACCACGCTCCTTTTTATACTCTGTGGGGTGTGGTCCAGTGACTCAGCCTAATCTTGGGCACACCTTTTCTTCTGTTGCGCGCGCTTATCTCTGTGACGCTGTCGAGGATCCAGCCAAGACTCATTACCCTCATCACTGTCCATCTGTGGCTGCGTGGACGTGCTTGGCCCCGGCCCTATCTCTTGCCCTTCGGCGGACACTGAAGGCATTGCCAAAGAGGAGGGTCCTGGAGAGGGAGGCCTTGCCAACTCCTCTCCTTCACTCTTGGAGTTCTCTCCTGCCGATGACACAGGGTCAGGTAGCGGAGCCACAACATCTAACTCCAAACAGGTGCTAACAGCTAGTTGAAAAAAAATCCCTGTGCATAGGGTTTTTTAGCAATAAATCAGTTTAACTGGACCTTCAGGTGTGGACCCTGGTCTCTCAGGAACGACAGATAAAACAATTTCTCACCTCTTCTGCTTACACATTTGGGACAGCATTCTCCTGGACCAACATGTTCCACTTCGTTGTCCTCGCAAGAAAGAGCAGAGCAGCGTTGGGGGGCACAAGTGACCTCTCCGTTAGCACAAGAGCAAGTCCTGCATCCCGAACTGGCCCATTCAGCATTAGGCTTCAAGGAAAGAGCAGAAGAAAAAAAAATGAGCACGAAATGTACAGGGGGAAAAAAAGCCACATATGTTTTATTTGATGGCTGCCTGCCAAGAAAACCACATCCCACATTTGTAATGTTGGCATTTGCTGCAATCTTTCTCTTTCTTTCTTTCTTTCTTTCTTTCTTTCTTTCTTTCTTTCTTTCTTTTTCTTCTGTCCTTCCTTCCTTCCTTCCTTCCTTCCTTCCTTCCTATCTATCTATCTATCTATCTATCTATCTATCTATCTATCTATCTATCTGGTATCTATCTTTTATCTTTACCTATCTACCTATTTCCCTCCCTACCTGCCTGCCTGCCTCCTCCCTACCTACATATAATCCATCCATCCATCCATCCATCCATCCTATGTATGTATGTATGTATGCATCCATCCATCCATCCATCCATCCATCCATCTATCTGCTATCTAACTATCTATTATCTTTACCTATCTACTACTATTTCCTTGCCTTCCTGCCTCCCTCCCTCCCTACATCTAATCCATCCATCCATCCATCCATCCTATGTATGTATGTATGTATTTATCCATCCATCCATCCATCCATCCATCCATCCATCCATCCATCCATGTATGTATCAAATATTGTTGAATATATATATATTTTATATTAATTATATATATTTTCCCATGGGAAAATTGTGTAGATAACTGGCCCAGGGCAGCCTGATGGGCCAGATCCATCCCCCGGGCCTTCAGTTTGACAGTTTCAGTTGTCAAAGAGCCTTGGTGGTGCAGCGGACTAAGTGCTGTTAAAGTAGCACTTAGCTGCCAGCTGCCTGCAATTACTGCAAGTTCAAATCTCGCCAGGCTCAAGGTTGACTCAGCCTTCCATCCTTCCGAGGTAGGTAAAATGAGGACCCGGATTGTGGGGGCAATAAGCTGACTTTGTATAAAAAAGACCACCGCGCGGGGGGCGGGGGAGGGGCGGCAAAAGCCCTACTAAGCAGGTATATACAAAAAGTATGAAGGCTATTGCTTAATGCATTGTAAGCCGCCCTGAGTCGCCGGAGAAGGACGGCATATAAATCGAACCAATAAATAAATAAATAAATAAATAAAAAATAAATAAATAAATAAATAAACAAACAAACAAACAAACAAACAAACAAACAAACATCTAATGACTATGAAAGAGCCTAGCAACCAACTTCATCTTGCACAGAACATGGTCCCAACATCATGACTTTGTTTGTGGAATCCACGCAAGTTCCCATCTGGGACACAGCAGGTTAAAGAAAACACCAGAAATATATAGTACTTACTTCTCTGAGTTGTCCTTCGTACTCACAAAACCCTTCCGTTCGTTCAGCACACTCAGGGCAGCAAGAGTTGGGTGATATTTGAAGTATTTCCTCCTGAACAGATAAATATTGTTCAAATACCAAACACGCACTCTCGACCAGCGGTTCTTTGTGTTTGTATTGCTATTAATTTCTTTTTTTAAAAGAAATAAAGACCGATATTACTGCCTTTCAAAACAGACCCTCCTGTAGTTCCTTGCCACCTTCTGAAACTTCAACAGGTTCTATTTCTTTTATTTAAAGCAGAACAATTAAAGATGCAACGTGTAAAATCAGAAATGCCTAACGGGAAGTAGTGAAAAGCTTCTCTGGAGCCTCAAATATTCCAATTGGAAGGTAGTAAAAGGCCTGAAAGGATAAACCGTGTTTTTTTCCTGGCAATGGAAAACCAATGAAGAAAGCACCTTATTTTTACTGGAGGCTATTATCGTAGGAATATTACGGTATAAAGAAGGAGATTCTTCTTCCAGATCTTAGGTTACAACATCCTGATCCTCTACAACAGGGGTCCCCAACCCCCGGTCTATGGCCCACAGCATGCCAGAAACCTGGTTGCACAAATAAGCAATCCCCATCCACAGGATGCTGGCAGCACGTGGAACCACGCCCCTTCCCAGTCCACGGAAAAACCTCTCTCTGTGGAACCGGTGGGTTGCCCCCAGTTCAGACCGGTTCTTTAGTAAAACTGGCGGGAGGCTCTGCCCACCGAGCCCGACGTCATCAGGAAACTTCTGCGCAGAAGCAAGCGCACGCACGTGGCCCTGTTGCAAACCGGTAGTAAAGGTAAGTAGAACCCACCCCTGAACCGGTCCCTGGTGCCCAAACGGTAGAGGGCCACTGCCCTACAAGCCTGAAAAGTGGAAAAGAAGCGCAACTACATGTCACATCCAGACAGGTCCTAGCATGATTTTTCAGGATGCTCGTAATATAAGCCCTACCCTCAAAATAAGCCCCAGTTAAGATTGTCAGCCAGATGGATGCATTTAGTGCCGTATTTCCCCCAAAATAAGTCCTAACCAGAAAATAAGCCCTAATGCGTCTTTTGGAGTAAAAATTAATATAAAACCCAGTCTTATTTTTGGGAAACACGGTAACATGCTGGTTAATTCATACTGAACAGCTCTACCTTAATGTGTTAATGTTTTAATGTTTTAATGTCTTCTTTTAACTTTTGTATGGGATATTGTTGCATTGTTTTATTCTCTGTTGTAAGCCGCCCAGAGTCCCTTGGGAGTGGGGCGGCATAGAAATGCGACAAAATAAATAAATAAATAAATAAATACCTGGAACCTTCCAGATGTGCTAGGAAGGCATGTGCCAGCATTGCCAACCAGCATGACTGATAATTTATTTTTTAAAAAAATCTTGGGAGATAACATTAAACCTGCACGTATCCACCGAGTGTAACAATTGCTACCTAGACGGCCTATCCATCACAACTCTCCAACTCTTATCCCATTAATTCCTGCGCCTAAATCAGAGGAACATTGTTTCGTACTACTGATTAACGTATTTTTCAAACTATAAGACGCACTTTTTTGTCTCCCAAAAGGGGGTGAAAATGTCTGTGCGTCTTATAGACCGAATATTGCTGAAGCCCTGCCCACCCACCGTCTGTTTTTTGGCCTCCACAGGCCCCGTTTTTGGGCCTTTTTTCAGCCCATTTTTTAGCCTTTTTTGGCCTGTTTTTTAGGCTTTTTCAGATGGTTTTTTAGGCTTTTTCAGACGGTTTTTTAGGGGTTTTTTGCCCATTTTCAGGGCTTTTTCAGCCCGTTTTCGAGGTTTTTTTCGGCCTGTTTTTGAGGCTTCTTTTGGCTCGTTTTGAGGCTTTTTTGGCCCGTTTTTGAGGCTTTTTTGCCCCATTTTTGAAGCTTTTTTTTTTTTGGCCCATTTTCAAAGCTTTTTTCAGCCTATTTTCGAGACTTTCTTCGGCTTTTTTTTTTTTGAAAAAAACCCTCAAAAACGGCTTGAAACAAGCCCCAAAAATGAGCCGAAAAAAGAGCCGAAAATGGGGCGTGCGGACGCCAAAACTTTTTTTGTTGTTGTTGTTTTCCTCTTCTAAATATAGGTGTGTTTTATAGTCCGAAAAACACAGTATAACATGATATCAGTTTGGTACGGATTGTATGAAGGACAAGCAACTTCATGCCCTCTGATAACATCTGGACTACATTTCCTCTAAAATGCTCCAAGTATGTTGAGTGAAGATTGGGAGAGTTAGGATCCATGACATCTGGAAAAAAGGACCCCAGTTTATCAGGCAGGTTGGCTGAAGTCTACAATGATGACTTTCAAAGATGTGAGAGACCCTGGCTTGCTGACCAGCTGATCAAGAAGATCTCTCTACAGCAGGGGGGTCTCCAAACATGGCATGTCTGGCTGGGGAATTCTGGGAGTTGGAAGTCCTCAAGTCACCGAATGTTGTGACCCATCAGCGGCCTGTGCAGCTAGTAGCTGATTCCGACAGCGAGGAGGCTTGATGTGGTGCTGCGCCAGCAGCCTGTGCAGCTGGTACTCGAGTTAGACAATGAGGAGGCTAGAGAAGATGTGGTGCCAGAGGCGGGGATTCAGCCAGGGCCTTCAGAACCTCCAGAAGCTCCCATAAGTGAAGAGGAAGAAGGGGAGGAGCCTCTTCTCAATGCACAAGCGTGTAGAGCTGTTAAAAGGCAGGAGTGGCTCCTCAGGAGGAGGTCTCCTCGAGAGTAAGACTTGGGGCTAATTGGCCATTCCCCTAGCCTATTTAAGGAAGGACAACGATTGATGCAATTTGCAGGAAACAACTTTGTTCATATTCCTTCGTGTCTTGATTCCAGAACGTTTGATCGGCTCTTGCTTCTTCTCTCTTGTCAGTTTTCCTGCAAATTGCTTCTGGGCATTCTGCCAACCACAGTAAGATTACGGTTATCTGAAATACTGTGCCTGAGAATTGAGTTATTATTCTTTGGATTCTTGTCGGCTGTTAATGAAGTTAAATTAACAGCTCTTGTTCAGAAAAGACTGATTTAAACTGTATTTGCATTTGAAAAACTACTAAGAAAGCTCATTAGCAGTCCTTAATTAGTAAACTAAGGTTTGTACGGACTTTGTGTGTGCTGTGTTCTTTGGGGTCCGTAGCTGGGGCAGAACACCGAATTTGGAGACCGCCACCCTGGAGTTTCAATCTGGGATCTTTTCTAGCCCTCCTTGGAGGCTGAACCTGCAACCATTGGCATCTCAAGCAGAAGCTCTTCTCCTGAGCTTAGCGACAATGACTCAGCCACAGAGCCTCCCACTCAGGGAAGGTATGTATTCACTTATCTTCACTACGGGTTCGCAAATGTGAGTGTGTTTGAATGCACCATCCTCCGTGCATGGGTAGGACCTTCTGCGCATGTGCAGAGTGTCAAAAACGAGACGTGATTACGTCCAGGACAGTGGGCAGAGCCTCCCGCCGTCACCACTACTGGTTTGCCCGAACCGGATAGAACCAGATAGAATACTACCACTGCTCCCACTCATTCAGTTCCAACCCGGATGTCCCTTGTCCTGTCTTCTCTTACCTTCTCAAAGTTGCAGCGAGGGTCTCTGCACGCCACAGCTTCGCATAGGACAATGTCACCATGGCAACCACACTCTTGGCACGAGTCCGGCTTCCAAACGGTGTTATTCTGCAAACAAAACCATAATCCCCGAATTAAAATTCTAATTTTTAAAAAAAAGAAAAGAAAAAGAGTTCACAGTTTACGGGACAGCGGGAAAAGGTTCCCGATGATTTGAAAGGGGTTTTGTGCGTTACCGAGGCAGACTTGGCAACTGGGATTTGTCGACTCCGTGCTGATTAATACCCACAGCTGTAATAAGTCCAAAGCTATTCATGTCATACTTTCAAAAACATGTAATCAAAAGACTCAGGTCCGCCATGAAAAGCAATCAATTTGAGCTGCAAAGTAATTGATCCACCTAAGCTCAGTAGCTACAATCTGATTAGAGTTTCTCTTCCACGGAGTTCAGGTTTCTATAAACAGATTCAGGCTGGGACTTTAATGACTTCCAAAGGAGCATTTGATGCCTCCATTCATATTAAAATTAATGTCCTGGAAAAATTACCTGGGGTGTCAAACAGCTTCTGTGTTATGTTCTGTGTTATGCAAAGAGGGCTAAAAAGGATTAAGAGTTTGCTGGCGATAAAAGAGGAGCGGTACACAGGAAGGAAAGATCCTGGCACGCAGCGGCCAAGGGAAACAATACCTTGGAAGTTTTTTGGTTTAAAAAAAAAAAAGCTAACGTAAGTAGGAAGAACCAGTATTTGGGGTGGTTGAAAATCTGTATATTTAGGAAAGGAAAGGAAAGGGAAGGGGAGGGGAGGGGAGGAAAAGGAAGGGAAGGGAACGAGGGAAGGGGAGGGGAGGGGAGGGAAGTGGAGGGAAAGGAAGGAACGAGGGAAGGGAAGGGGAGAGCAGGAGGGGAGGGAGGGGAAGGGAGGAGAGGGAAGGGAGGGAGGAGAGGGGAAGGGAGGGGAGGAGAGGAGAGGAGAGAAGAGGAGGGGAGGGAGGGGAGGAGGGAGGGGAGGAAAGGATGGGGCGGAGAGGAGAGGAGAGGAAAGGAAAGGGGAGGGAAGAGAAGAGAAGAGAAGAGAAGAGAAGGGAAGGGAAGGGGAGGGGAGGAAGGAAGGAAGGAAGGAAGGAAGGAAGGAAGGAAGGAAGGAGGGGGAGGGAGGGAGGGAGGGAGGGAGGGAGGGAAGGGAAGGAAGGAAGGAAGGAAGGAAGGAAGGAAGGAAGGAAGGAGGGAAGGAAGGAAGGAAGGAAGGAAGGAAAAGGTTCTCAACACTAATCATGATGGGCAAAACCTTTCAAAGAATGGTTTCTACAGCATCCCTCGGCCCATATAAACCATAAAACACTAGTCCATAGATGGAGGCTAAACTAAAATTGCTGGTAGAATTAGGCTGAATGATCCGAGCTACTTATACCTTGTACGGAAGATGACTAATATTTAAGACGGTCGTTCCAAAGATGCTTTTCAAAAATGGCCTTTGTTTTTTTTTCCCTTGAAGACTGAAGAAGCTTCTTGGATGAGAAGCGAAACGTCTTCAAGGGAAAAAAACAAAAACAAAGAAAAGCCCAGTAGTTTCCTTTTGAAAATGGATGATTGAGAATCTCCATAGACATTTAAGGTATATCCTAACGTGCAACCCCTAATACAGCACCGTACATTTGAGAAGTATCGGGGAAGGAGTACGCCAACTGCTTCTCCTAAACGCACTTTCCTTCCCATTTCTCCTCTCGTATCTACAGCTTTCTGAATTTCTCGGCACACGGATATCTGTGCAAAACTGCTTGGTATTCAACCAGGGAGCTGTTAAATGAATGCTTAATCTGGAACAGAGAAACAGCAGATGGACAAGATTTCAGCTCACCGTTTTTCGGCTCTAAACAGCTCTTCCTACTCAGACCTTCTTGAACCTGACCAGAGTTGTTCCGAGAACGACTTCATATCTTCAATAAAAAACTACCTGCCTGTTCCTCCCTTCCCTTGACTTCCATGTATACCTCTTAAGTGAATGGTTTGAGGAGAGAGAGGTGAGGGAGGGAGGGAGGAAGGAAGGAAGAAAAAAGAAGAGAGGGAATGAGAGAGGGGGGAGGGAGGAGGGAGGAGGAAGGAAGGAAGGAAGGAAGGAAGGAAGGAAGGAAGGAAGGAAGGAAGGAAGGAGAAAGAGGAGGGAGGGAGGAGCCGCGCAATCATCAGAGGCTTTTTTTTATTATTTTTAAAAGCATTTTTTCTACAACCTCTTCGGCCGAAAAAATACTTTTAAAAGTTTTTTAAAAAAAAAGCCTTAGATGATCGTGCAGCTCAGCTGGGATTGTCAGAGGCTTTTAAAAGCATTTTTTTTCCTACAACCTCTTCAGCCGAAGAGGTTGTATAAAAAAAAGATGCTTTTAAAAGCCTCTGACGATCCTAGCTGAGTTGCCTGATCGTCAGAGGCTTTCAAAAGCATTTTTTTTACAACCTGTTCGGCCGAAGAGGTTGTAGAAAAAATGTTTTTAAAAGAAAAAAAAAAGCCTCTGACGATCAGGCAACTCGGCTGGGATCGTCAGAGGCTTTTAAAAGCATTTTTTTACAACTTCTTTGGCCGAAGAGTTTGTAGAAAAAAATGGTTTTAAAAGTTAAAAAAAGAAAAAAGTTGGCCACATTACCCCACTACCACCAAGCCATGCCCACAGAACCGGTAGTAACAAATTTTACATTTCACCCCTGTTCTCCATCCCTACCCTAGAGGTTGGCACTCTGCTTGGCAATATGCCAATAACCCCTTTCATGTGGGACCTTATTACATGTCAAAAAAGGGTTTTACAAGGCACACCCCCGACAGAGGTGGGATTCACTTCCCTTCCATACCAGTTCGCAAATGCGAGCGCGCAACCACCTTCCGCGCACACTCGGCCTCCCGCGCATGCTATTTGTACGGGCGCGTGCCTTCCACTCATGCCCACGGCCTTGAAAACGTGGCTAAATAGGACGTCATCACGTCTGGATAGGTGAGCGGAGCCTACCTCATTCGCCGCTACCAGTTTGCCCGAACCGGACAGAACCAGTTGAATCCCACCACTGACCCCCGATGGTATTATACGATCTAATCCAGCTCCATGCCTGGCATAACTTTGGGGTATATCAATATGCAGTTTTTAAAACGGGTCACCGCTTCCCGGCAGAGAACATCTCCAAGGCTCAAGGTTGACTCAGCCTTCCATCCTTTCTAAGGTAGGTTAAATGAGGACCCAGTTTGTGGGGGCAATAAGCTGACTTTGTATAAATATACAAAAGGATGAAGGCTATTGCTTAACGCATTGTAAGCCGCCCTGAGTCTCCGGAGAAGGGCGGCATATAAATCAAATTAAAAAAAAAAAAAACATCTCGCCCTCCCGTACCAACCTGCAGCGAATCTTATATATATATATATATATATATTAAAAAGAAAACTCCAATAACATAACTAGCCTTCGGTATGGATGGAGTAGCTGCACTAACAGAGGATAAGCTGAGAAAAACTGTCTCGCTGGGTTCTGATTTACTACCCCGTTGCAAAATCAATTCGGGCCAAGTTATATATGTGTCAGGCTAACTCCCGTGCTGCGTTTAATCTGATTTCTGAGCTTTAAACAAAAGAAGGGGGAGAGAAAGACGAAGGAAAGACGAAAGCTGTGGGACACCGTGAACGTTTTGGGCCTTGGCATATCTGCCCTCCTCATTAGAAGATTGGTATTGATTTTGTTTTAAATCCTGGGATTAAAAAAAGCCTAATTTTGGCTGTTGATGTCACTTCTGTTCTTGCTCATCCCAGCGATAAAGAAAACCTGGAACAAGGAATGAAAGGTAGTCCTCTACCTACGACTGGTTACTTAGCGAACGTTCAACGTTACACACACACACAAACACACACACACAATCATATGAACGCATTTTGGGTCCTCAGCTATTGGCCTGCATCCCATAGTCATGTGACCACAATCGGCGACATTTTTGCTGGGGGAAAAATGGATTTAATTCTGGTTTCCAACAAAAAAAAAAAAAAAACACGCCACCCCACATCAAACAATGCATTTGTTTAACGACCGCCTTGTTCACTTTATGACCTCCACAAAAAGGTCATAGTATTAATCGTGTGGTGATTTGCCTTAGGACTGCCACCAATTTACAACCAGAATTGCTGGCTCCATTACAGTCATAAATTGAGGATGAAAAAAGCATAATATCCACTCAGAATTCTATGTGATTCTGCATCTTGCAGGCTGCTTCAAGGTGATGACTGTGAAGGGAAAATCCGCTTCGAACAGAACAGAGGTGGGGAATTATAGCTCCATTATGACTTGTGGACTTCAACTCCCAGAATTCCTGAGCCAGGAATACTGGGAGTTGAAGTCCACAAGTCATAAAGGGGCCATAGTAAGCTTGGATCAGCGCTGGCGGCTGACGTCTGGCAGGCCACACAACATCTACCGTGTTTCCCCGAAAATAAGACCCTGTTTTATAATTTTTTTTGAACCCAGAAATAAGTGCTTGGCCTTATTGCCATGTACTCAAAAGCCCAATTGGGCTTATTATCAGGGGATGTCTTATTTTGGGGGAAACAGGGTATTACAGAGGTGGTATTCACTTACCTTTGCTACCATTTCGCAAATGTGAGTGCGCACCTTCCGCGCATGTGCAGAGCGTCAAAAACGGGACGTGATGACATCCAGGCAGATGGGCGGAGTCTCCCTCAGCCGCCGCTACCGGTTTACCCGAACCGGATAGTACCGGCTGAATATCACCCCTGATCTATTAGTACTTTAAAAGTAAAGAGGCAGGCAATTCAAAAAGACTTAAATAGCTTAAGCAGTGGGACGAAAAGAAAACTACAAGGTGGAATTTAAGCAGAGGAATGCTTCTACATCCGGATGTGAAAAATGAAAGGCAAAAGTACAGGAAATGGGAGGGCTACCTTGGCAGCTAATGGGTATTTTAATAGACCACAAGGCAAACCGGAACCAACTCTCAGCCTTATGAGGTCGACCAGGGGGTCTCCAAACTTGACAACTTTAAGACTTCTGGACTTCACAGTCAAACCGGAGCCAACTCTCTGTCTTATGAGGTAGACCAAGGATCTTCAAACTTGACAATTTAAGACCTG